CATGGATGAAGGCGTCATTGCCAGAGAGTATGATAAGGGTAGGTTAAAGGAGCAGGGTCTGACTAAAATATCTCTTTGCAAATGTCTCATCTGCTTCTACATGTACACAGACCTTCTGTAATTAACACCCTTGCTGGTACAGCCCATTGTTCTTCATGGAAGACCCACCTTTCTGGAGGAGGAGGCCAGGGGCATGGGAACAGAAAAGCTTCACTGCACTCCCATCAGACCGTCCTTTGGTTCACAGCTTTATCAGACAGGAGTTGAATGACTTTTGTTAATGTCTGGTTAAGAATTAACCACTTTCTAATTCTTGAGGGATGCAGTGGCTTAGTGGCTAAGATGCTGAGCTTGTTGATCAGAAAGATCAGCAGTTTGGTGGTTCGAATCCGTAGCGCCATATAACGGAGTGAGCTCCTGTTACTTGTCCCAGCTTCTGCCAACCTAGCAGTTCGAAAGCATGTAAAAATGCAAGTAGAAAAATAGGGACCACCTTTGGTGGGAAGGTAACAATGTTCCGTGCGCCTTCAGCGTTTAATCATGCTGGCCACATGCCCACAGAGACGTCTTCGGATAGTGCTGGTGCTTCGACTTTGAAACAGAGATGAGCACTGCCCCCTAGAGTCAGGAATGACTAGCACATATGTGCAAGGGGAACTTTTAGCTTTACCTTAATGTTTAATGGCTTAAAGGAATAAAATACAGCATTCGCTGAGCTAGAGAAATCCAGAGATGGGGGCTATACTGTTACGGCAAAGATCCTTTCCATGGAAAATCTATTAAAGGAAAACCAAGTGAGTTCCCCCCCTCCATTTTTGAGGATTTCCTTGTTTTCCAAAGTCTGTTTCCAATCCTCTACCCCTATCCATGTGACAAAACAGAAAACAGCTATCTTGACTCACGTAGAAAATGACTCTTGGCCTACAATCCAGACTGCAGTCTGTTTACACAGCTTCTAAAATTGCTACCCCAAAGCTCTACGATTTGATAGAAGACAGGATTTTCAGATCTGTTGATCTGTGTGCAAAGCCACTTTTTGTGATGGACCCAGTGGATTTCATATGCAGAAAGCTTTGATCCTCCCAATATAGCTTTAGTCGCATTGCCAAGTTGAAGTTGACTGTTCAATCCACAAAACTTAACTCTTCTTCCCTCTCTCCTCACTCCCCCTCCCTCTTTCAGCTTTTCCTGGTGGAGAAAGCAGGGAGACGTATCCTCTTTATGGCTGGTCTGTTAGGCATGATGGTGTGTACCATAACAATGACTCTTGGGCTTGTACTTCAGGTAAGATACCTGTGTCAAGTGTTCAGTTATTAGTTCTGTCAACACCCACTATGTTTGAACATCTAATCTCTCCAGCAGAATGTCACTGCTACTTGGTAGTCAGCTATTCTGTTATAAAGTGTAAATCATGTTGTGGGTCATTGGCAACTTAATTTGCAAACCTCACCCTCCCAGTCAATTCCTTTATCCACATCAGAATAAGCACATATTCTACTCAGTTCAATTAGCAAAACAAACAAAAAACAAAAAAAACCTTGATATTTATTAAACACCTGTAAACAAGAAAACAGTTAACTAGTAAAATGGGATAACAGGTAGACAAAAGCAGGGAATGATAGAAAAAGAGTTCACATTATCTTTTTTTTAAAAAATCAATCATAATAAAGCTGGAAGAGATCTTGGAGGTCTTCTAGTCCAGCCCCTCTGCTCAAGCAGGAGACCCTGTACCATTTCAGA